GCATCACTGATATCATGGAGGTGTCCAGATATTAACTACAGGCTACTTACCTGGCGGTTCCAACAGGTGGATCTGCATCACCATTATCATGGAGGTGTCCAGGTATTAACCACAGGTAACTTACCTGGTGGTTCCAACAGGTGGATCTGCATCACTGATATCACAGAGGTGTCCAGGTATTAACTACAGGTAACTTACCTGGCACTTCCAACAGGTGGATCTGCATCACTGTTATCACGGAGGTGTCCAGGTATTAACTACAGGCTACTTACCTGGCGGTTCCAACAGGTGGATCTGCATCACTGATATCATGGATGCGTCCAGGTATTAATTACAGGTAACTTACCTGGCACTTCCAACAGGTGGATCTGCATCACCGTTATCATGGAGGTGTCCAGGTATTAACTACAGGTAACTTACCTGGCGGTTCCATCAGGTGGATCTGCATCACTGTTATCATGGAGGTGTCCAGGTATTAACTACAGGTAACATACCTGGTGGTTCCATCAGGTGTATCTGCATCACTGATATCATGGAGGTGTCCAGATATTAACTACAGGTAACTTACCTGGTGAATCCATCAGGTGGATCTGCATCACTGTTATCACAGAGATGTCCAGGTATTAAGGTAAAACAGGCGACTTTAATCACCAAAGCGTTTGATGCTACCAGCGATGCTAAGCATCTAGGTAACGAATTTCCTCTGTCATACTTGATGTTTGTTGTCACTTATTGTTAGGATTAAAAACAAAGGACGTTTTAAGGAGAAAGTCTTATAACAAATCAAAGCATAGGAATCTTAAAAGCCTTTGAGATTAGCGTGATGCATGTGGATGAACCAATAAAGGAGGACTTGTTTATTTTCGATACGGAATGTGGCAAGTTGTAGGCCATTTCGATCAGAAGAAAGTTATCGACGCATTGTGCTGTTGTGTGTTTCTCGCTTCACCACTACACTAAAATTTTAAGTGAGAATGGGAAGGAAAAAAGAAAAGACCTGAGAGTATCCTGTAAAGTATTATGCTTTATGCAGTCCGAACAGGGAAGAAAAGTCACGGTGCATTTGACCATGTCCAATGATGATGTTGACAGTTTGATTGTTGATAGTATTTTCATCAGGTAATTATTTAACTATTCATTTTACTGAAAGTTATGAATGATCTTCTGACTACAGATTTAAAAACGATGAATAAACGGTACAAGGATGTCAGGATGTGGCTAATATCCCAACATTGCCAAAAAATAAAAATGCATTCATTCAAGAAATTATGAAAAAAATCCTTGCTTAATTTTTAGGCCTAATAGTAACATTATTGGAACAGGTATTCAATTGTTCAAGTTACCTTTTAAATGAGGTTTGATTTTAATTAATATCTCATTTTTTAATTAATACAAATTGTGCATGACAAGAACATTAATTTTCTTGATCAAGCATTTGCATTTCACTAATTCAATCTACATGTATAAATTGTACAATAATTTCATATTGATTCTTCATTGATTATATTGGAAATTTCATTTCATTGAGTGAATGAAATTCAGTCCAATTCCTTATGCAATTCCAAAAATGCAATTCCTTAAATGTTATTGTAAAAATGAACACATGTGATTTCAGATCAATTGGGTCATTAATTGGAATAGATAAGAACAAAAAAAAAAGTACTTCAGTGTTTCCTTAAAAGATTTGTGCCATCAATCAAAGTAGAGGTCATCCCATATCAGCTCAAGAATATTAAAGAAAGTTGGATGGATCAAGCTAAGATGTTGAACCAGACATGGCAAAGTCAATGGAGATTTGGAAAAGAAATGATGATTTGTTGTACCCAATGCATATTTTTTATATGTCTATAGATTATAGAAAAAAATTTAATGTTTAACAGCATCCTATCTACCTGGTAGTATATATACATGCTGTTTTCAATATATTTAGAAAATATGTGTATGTGATGATTGCAGTGCATGCTCTGTTTGTCCATCTTTGAATTTGTTTTCAGTAAAATAAATGTATACATTAAGGTATTAATTGAAGGTTGCTTTTGTCTACACTTACAAGTAACAAGTTTCTTAAAAGGGTTATTTTGTAAAATTGCAAGGAAATTAATACATGAACAATTAAATTTAATATTTTTATTCATTAAATTTTGTTCTTACCAGGACCTAATATGCTCAAATAAGTATTTCTGAAAGCTGATGAGTTTTGTAAATAAAGCTGCAGTGAACATTTAACAGTTTGAAATATGACACTTGGAAATTGAAAGGTTGTTAATTTAGTAGGAATGATAAGACCAGTTTAGTAATCAACTAAAATTAAAATCTTTCACAAATACATGTAGTTTATTTTAAAATTGTTTACATTTATAATCTTTTAATTTTTTTCTGTATTTTGATTTTAAAAAGGAGAAAAAATTTTTATATTTAAATTATTATTTCATGTATATCAAGGAGATATATCTATCACTCACTGTAACATTGTTTCTTTTTCCCTGTTCTTGACAAATATTTATGACAGTGTTATGTCATTTTGCAGAATTTGCCTTTTAATTCTCTGAAATCAGAAGTACTCTGTAAACTCATTAAAGTATGAATTGATGTCACTTAAAATTCATCTTTATTTTGTTCTGTCTGATATTTCAATTTAGATTCTCAGACTACCTAATCCAATGATTGAGCTAATGTCCATGAAGTGTAGAAATAGGCCATCTTTAAGATATGTTTGGTTGTCGGCCTCTCCAGACAAACTGACTAAAATGACCAGACTGAAATTTTTTTTCAATGCAGGGCCGTATTTTTTCTTTTTATTCCTCTTATTCCCCGTAAAGAAATGTTGTTGAAGATTTTCTCACCTACCGACCCAATAATTTTACCCAGAGTCAAGAGAGGGCAAACAAACATTACTTTCAAGATAGCATTTCTACTCTTCGAAGTAAAGAAATCATTTAATTATAAAAACAGCAGCTTCGTGGATGCAATGCTTACAACATTTCACTCAAAAGATGGCATACATGTATAATGATAGTCACGAGACATAACTGAATAAAGATATTTTGCTACGAAGATGTCTAGAAATTACTACATGTTGGAATAACTAAATCAGCATGAGGTCAAATTCAGAGGCTTTTAATTGGGTTAGTTGCAACATGTTCTGAAGTATGTTATAAACATATACATGTACTTCTAAAGGTGTTGCAGTATAATTCATGGACAATTTCATCAGAATATTCAGATGTAAAGATTGCCATAAATACTAGATTTCTTCCATGGAATAAATTTTTAGACCATCTTGTAGCACAGGAGGAGTTTTATTTTGAATATTTTTGGCCAAGTTTTCCTTAAAAACAATATCAAAAATACATTTAGTCTTTAACATTCACCATGACAAGGTGATATCAATGTTGTCTTTATAAGTGTAGAAAAAGCCTGATTTTTGTGTTCCGAACCCATAATATAGCCCCTGTTTCCATGGAAATAATATTGGGGACATACATATTTTTTTGGTTCAAATTATTTAAAATGATCAAATTAATAACTTCATGGAATTTGATGGAATCGGTAGATATGTAAAACGTTGATTTTTATATTTTTGTTGCCATGGCAACGGTTTCACTTTATCAAGGAAAATTGAAAAATCTTCTTTTTTACCCAATTTTTCACATTTTTGATAACGGAAAATTAATAGTTTAAATAATAGAAGCATGAATTATACTAATTCAGGTCATTTTAATTATAAAAGTTTGATAATTAATAAAATAAATCAATTTTTTCAATGAAAATAATATTCGAGGTGAAATATGAAATACGTTAAATTTGGCGTCTTTTACTAAAAAAATGGGACGGGCAATATCTTTGAAAATCATATTAAATGATGAAGCTAATCTCCCTGAATAAATTGATATATGGCATGTGTGCATATTTAAAAAAATAAAAGTTGGAGGGAGACGCAAACCTTACCTTAACTACAGGTAACTTACCTGGCACTTCCAACAGGTGGATCTGCATCTCTGTTATCACAGAGGTGTCCAGATATTAACTACAGGTAACTTACCTGGTGAATCCTCAGGTGGATCTGCATCACTGATATCACGGAGGTGTCCAGATATTAACTACAGGTAACTTACCTGGTGAATCCATCAGGTGGATCTGCATCACTGTTATCGCAGAGGTGTCCAGATATTAACTACAGGTAACTTACCTGGTGGTTCCAACAGGTGGATCTGCATCACTGATATCATGGAGGTGTCCAGGTATTAACTACAGGCTACTTACCTGGGGGTTCCAACAGGTGGATCTGCATCACTGATATCATGGAGGTGTCCAGGTATTAACTACAGGTAACTTACCTGGCGGTTCCAACAGGTGGATCTGCATCACTGATATCACAGAGGTGTCCAGGTATTAATTACAGGTAACTTACCTGGCACTTCCAACAGGTGGATCTGCATCACTGATATCACGGAGGTTTCCAGGTATTAACTACAGGCTACTTACCTCGTGGTTCCAACAGGTGGATCTGCATCACTGATATCATGGAGGCATCCAGGTATTAACTACAGGTAACTTACCTGGCACTTCCAGCATGTGGATCTGCATCACCATTATCATGGAGGTGTCCAGGTATTAACTACAGGTAACTTACCTGGTGGTTCCAACAGGTGGATCTGCATCACTGATATCACAGAGGTGTCCAGGTATTAATTACAGGTAACTTACCTGGCACTTCCAACAGGTGGATCTGCATCACTGATATCAGGGAGGTTTCCAGGTATGAACTACAGGTAATTACCTCGTGGTTCCAACAGGTGGATCTGCATCACTGATATCATGGAGGCGTCCAGGTATTAACTATAGGTAACTTACCTAGTGGTTCCATCAGGACGATCTGCATCACTGTTATCATGGAGGCATCTAGATAGTCGGACTCCGCCTCTTTCGTGTACAGAACTTCCACAGGGTAGGTCCTTCCGGGAATGGTGAAAATAGGCTTAAAAATTTACAGGGATCATCTCAAACTTTAAATCTGAGCTATCTTTAAAAAAGAAATTTATCCAAGACCTCAAAGAACATTTTTTAAAGTAGTCAAATACATAAAAGTTAATCTGTTCATGTTCTTTTAAAAAACATATTATACAGAGCTTTGCTGTTTTCAAAGACAAATGCTAATTAATTGGCAAAGTTGAACTACCAGTATTTGCTTAAGTATGAAATATTTTAGAATTGATATTCAATGAAAAATAATAACAATGTACTATTACGAATTAATTTACCACTTCAAAGAAGTACTGTGAGAATTTGACAGCGTCCAGAGTGGCCGAGGTGACGATGAGCTTCAGTTCTGGTCTCTTCTGTACGGCCTACAGTCAGAGAGACAAAAATATCGTCAAAATCATCATCAAGAACTACAGTATACAGGGTTAAAATTTTTGCCCCTTTATTTTTGCCTTTTACATTAAAAAATTGGCAAACAATTTTGTCCAATATTAAGAGAGTTGTGTTTAGGAGATAATGTTGTTTTCTTTTTAAACTCATCACATTTTAAATTCCCTCTCTGGTGATGATGGCAAAAATTTCCCTGTATACCGTGAATCTAAATGTAAATATTTTCTATCAAACTAATCAATGCCAATCAAATTGCTTTTCTTTAAAACTTTTCTAAGGAACTAAAATGCATTAATATATAATTCGAATATTTCCATTTCTAATAATTTTTTTCTCTATGATAACCCTTTGAAAGTAAGCTGAGTTGATTTCCTGATAATTCTGCCGGAAAGTAAATTAGGCAGGTAGATAGGTCAGGAGCTATGGAGGCCTAGCATGCATGCAAGTCTCGTGCGCATCTGTCTCTGAGTCTGACACTTGGGAGGCTAAATATGCATGAAAATTTCGTGTGGCTGCCGTTGTGTTCTGCAAGGCCTTTTAAAATTGGGACGGGAATCCTCATGTAATTTAAATCTATGTCTGCATTTTTAAAGTCTAAATCTACAATATTATTTTACAATGAAATGGAAATATAAGGAATCACTGTCTAGTTAGTATAGTATGTCAGGGACATCAACAATAGTAGGAAACATGGGATAATTTATGCATAACAGGCTTTGCCCGTTATGCAAATTATCCCAAATCCCACTATTGTTGATGCCCTGTCATACTATACTAACTAGACAGTGATTCCTTACATCATTCAGCCAATTACTGAATCTTTAATGTGTGTACTTAATTTGTCTTCCATAATTAAAATCCAGCCATCTTGATTGGATTTCATTAAGACTACAGTAAAAGTGATTACTGTAAACCAACTTTTATTCGCACGCGAGAAATATCCACAAGCTCCACGACCTACTCTAACTCGCGAATATCAATCGAACCATTTATTCCATTAGTATTAATAGGGAATGTTTCTATTGTAGCGAAAATTGATCATCATGGATTTATTCCAAATTGACAAATCGTGAATAAAAGATGACGCGAATAATACTATTCGCGAGTACTTTATTTTCATGTAATTACATGACCATGCATTGCTCGCGAACATTTAATTCTTGCGTATAATAGCATTCCTTATGATTGTATAGAGCAATAACCACAATTCAGGAAAATTTTGTCTTGCTAATTAAGTGTCAATGACTATCTCCTGAAAATAAGGGGTTACGAAAATATAGTGATCTACAATAGTTAGTTTACAGTATTTACACAATCTACAAAACATGTACATACTGCCTTCAGTAGACCAAACAAGACATCTGTGTGTATGGTCCTCTCATGAGCTTCGTCAAACATTATAATGCTGTACTGAGTTAGATCACCATCAATAAGGCATTCCCTTAGCATCATACCGTCTGTCATGTATTTAATCTTAGTCTTTGGACTCATACAGTCCTCAAAACGAATCGTGTAGCCAACCTGAAGGAAATTAAAATTATGCATCTTCATGAAATTTTCAAGGCATTCATATATTTCATACATATGGCGCCGGAGTATGTGCATCTGCTAAATGTGTATTATTATTTTGTATCACAAAGCACCTACATAAATCTAAAGGATGATGTGACATAACTGCTATCTGGGGCCCCTTTTTCCAAGACGAATTATATTTAATCTACAACGATGTTGTTAGTTTTCAAAGGTGAGTGAATAAATACGACGCCTTTTGAATAGTTTCAATAGTCCAGACACATTTTAATCATAAGGAATACTGCATTATCTTTAATTTTTTAGACCCTATCACAGCTAATTTCGGCCAGGTTTGTGAGAATATTTTCTTTTATGTCAAGAGAATGGGCGGGTCTTAGTACAATAGAGGGATATGCGTGTCTGAGAAGACCTTATATGGCTATTGTTATTATTTTGCACATAGTCATTGTCCAATCCGATGACAGAACAACAAAACATGCTGGTTTACTACGTTTACATTTTATCACAGACACGTGGTTTAGGTCAATTTACCTGTTATCCTTTTCTACATTTCAAACTTTTATAATGGTCAGCCAAGGTTGTTTATACTTAATAATAAGCATGGGTTTTCAGCATTTACGATTTTTAGGACATATGCATAAATTATGAAACTTGTATTCACCGATACTCCGGAATATGTGTAGACCTAGCGAATTGCTCACCAAACACGCTACAAAACTTAAATGTATATCATGTGTATTCTATCAATTGTTTGTAACTGTATATATATAAATTTTACAGTGGTCTCGAAAATGGTACATATGTAGATCGGTGTCTAATCTGTGACTCAAATGCATAAAAAAATGTCAGAAAGCAGTAAAATTCCAAGCATGTTTCCATAGTATTTTTGTGGTACTCACTCGTAACGAATTTCATTTAGCTGATTGGTCAGTTAGAAAGTATCGCCTGTGCCTCGATTAACATATGAATTCATTCTTGCGTCAGAAAATCTAGTTCCGTCGATCTGTTTGTAATGGGAATTAAAGGCCATGCAACTAGATTTTACAATTTTTAAAAAAATAGCATGTGAGCGCAGTTAGGTACAATTTTCTCCTTTCATGTATACTTAGGTAGATTTCAATAAAATACAGTGCCTAGCCAAAGGAGAAAATTGTACCTATAATCTGCGCTCGTATATTTTAAGGGCTTCAAAGAGTGGGGCGGGGCTAAAATGCAATGGGAATTGAATGTTAACATGATACCCCTACCCCAATAAAAGATTTATATCTTTCAAATCATGTTGCTATTTTTGTTTAAAAAAGTATTCTATAAAAGTACACGTCAGTGATTAGTTACATACAAAAATTTGAGTAAAATTTTGACATGTAATTTTTTGTCAGTATACGAGGGGCCGCAAGTCACCTCATCCTTTGTTAAATCTTTTTGAAATATTTTTTTTTGATTCAGTTTTAAATCTGTATTTTAAATGTACTGGTAAATTTTTAATTTTTTTTTGCATGCATCTTCTTTTGATACGTTTGTGACCCCCCAAAAATACAAACAAAAACATAATTCTGAAAAATTTTTCTTGGAAAGATATAAATGTAAAAAAAAAAGTTGTATAAAATGCACAGGGGGAAAATAATGTTAGTGATGAGTCAATATACCTCCTCTCCCAGTTGACAACCAAATTCCTCTGAGACTCGTTTGGCGACAGACATGGCGGCGACACGTCTTGGCTGCGTACAGCCGATCTTCCACGACGTCGTGTAGCCCGCCTTCGCGAGATACTGTGTGATCTGAGTTGTCTGACGATTAATACATGGTTGTCTGTCACTGCCTAAAATTGAGTTTATATAATAAAGTATAATTGTTAAATAGTTGCAAATATATCTTGTATAATGTATATGCCTGAAAACCAAACTATAAGAAGCTCAAGGTCTCTGATATCACTATGCAAGTTCTCTCTCAGCATAGTCTATAGATTTTATCTATCCTTTTTATTTTGTCTATTTTGTAAAACTTGAAATCCTTTAGTGCAACTCAAATTAGTTCACCTATAGAAAATGATTTAAAGTAATTATACTATTGCTCTTTTTATTGTTTTAGGCACACAAAAATGTGTATATAACTAATGTTTTATAAATTTATCATCATTCTAGACATCTCAATGACTAAATATTACTGATTTTAATTCATCAGATTTGAATGACCTCCAGAATTTCCTCTTGTTAAATCTCTCCTCCTTTTTATCAGTCTGGATAAAAGCGTGACAACTCCATATCTTGACTAGTTGGTCCTTAAGTTTAAATATAGGCAGACTCTGCCGCTGTTCTAGAAGTGATTTCTTTTCCTTCTTTCCATACGATGCCTTCTGACCCCCAGATATATGTTTCTTCCACTCCGGTAAATCAGCTGGGGCCATTCCAACACCCCTCACCTGGAAGGCTAGCCTTCTGTCACCATCTGAAATATACTCCAAATATATAAATGGTTATTTAAAATTTCCTACTTCATTTACTACATTTTTCTTACATAACCTTCAGAGAAATCATGAAATTAGAGGAAATTCTAAACTACCCCACAACTTTATGTATACATGTATATCTTCTTTACCCTATACATGTATTGGATATTAAATGCTGTAAAATCACTTAATTTCTAAATTGGGTATAATTTAGGTTCTCAAGAGAAATTATCGCGGGCAAGGTTGTTATGAATTCTATTATTTCTGTAACGGGAGAGGAGAAAATGCAGCGGACCAGACCGGAATTCGAACCCGGGCCCCCTGAAACTCCGGTCAGGTGCTCTACCAACTGAGCTATCTGGCCACCGGCGATCGAACCCGGCTGACCGCCACATTCCTCCCTCCTTAAAGGTCTTTGGCCCTCCAAAGACCCCAACCCAGGCTCATCCCTGGCAGGCCTCTCACCTGTCAGTTCCAGGGCATGGCACGGCACCAAATGTAACGGGAGAGGAGAAAATGCAGCGGACCAGACCGGGATTCGAACCCGGGCCCCCTGAAATTCCGGTCAGGTGCTCTACCAACTGAGCTATCTGGCCACCGGCGATCGAACCCGGCTGACCGCCACATTCCTCCCTCCTTAAAGGTCTTTGGCCCTCCAAAGACCCCAACCCAGGCTCATCCCTGGCAGGTCTTTCACCTGTCAAATCCTGGTCACGGCACCAAATGTAACGGGAGAGGAGAAAATGCAGCGGACCAGACCGGGATTCGAACCCGGGCCCCCTGAAACTCCGGTCAGGTGCTCTACCAACTGAGCTATCTGGCCACCGGCGATCGAACCCGGCTGACCGCCACATTTCAAAGAACTTCAAAACCCCTCCCCCTAATCTCTCAAAAAAGGAAGACATTCTTGGTCTCATGGTAAAGTGATAATTTTAGTTTGTAATCCCATAACCAAATTAAAAATTTGATACTGATTCCTTGTCTTATAGTTTAATAAAGCTCATTCTGAAATCCGATTTAATGCCAGATGAATCTGGATATAACAGAGGTTCTCATGACATAAAATGCTGGCTACATCAATCTGTGAATGTGGATGTGTACATATATGGCCTGTTTTTATCATGTTAAGATTGACCTTTAATCCATATCTACCCAGCTTATATCAGTTTTAAGCACTGGATTAAATGATGAATTTAATTAACTTAAAAATTCTGTGAAAATGTATGTGATTGGAGAAGTGGCCAATGGCTTAAGAATTATATCTCTCAAGTTTTTAAATGTTGGAATGGTGTACGGGCTATTGTCTATGAAGAATAATGTCAATCCTGGAATTCAAAATACTGTGAAACAAGGTGTTTATAATGTTTAAGACTTGTGAATTTGCTAATTATAATTTTCAAAATTCAAATTTAGTGGTTTATTGATGATTTGTTGCTTATGATTTGTTAGTAGTTTGTTAGAGTGTTTCGTAAGTATTTTGTTAAAGCGTTTTGTTAGTAGCCGTAAGTATTTTGTTAAAGTGTTTTGTTAGTGGTTTGTTAGAGTGTTTCGTAAGTAGTTTGTTAAAGTGTTTTGTTAGTAGTTTGTAAAAGTGTTTTGTTAGTAGTTTGTTATAGTGTTTTGTTAGCTCATTTGCATGTGATTTGCTTACTATGAATACTATCAAAACATGTGTTTTGTAAGTAGTTTGTTATAGTATTTTGTTTCCCCCTTTTTTTCATTTGGGTCTGCATGATTTAAATTTTGTTTCGGTTATAATTATCAAATTAAAGTTTGACAATCTAATGTACCCTCTGGCATGGGGTCAATCCAGTCTTTATTTATTCTAATTTTGTTTCTATTATAATTATCAAATTAAGGTTTGACGTCGATCTAACCTACCTTCTGGGATTATCATAATTATCAAATTAAGTGTGACGTGTGACAGATTTTCTTTTGCTCATAATTATGAAATAAACTAAAGTGTGACGATCTAACGCACCCTCTGGCATAGAGTCAATACAGTCTTTATTAATTTCAATTTTGTTTTGCTTATAATTATCGTATTAAAGTGTGACGATCTAACGTACCCTCTAGGATATTCAATACAGTCTTTATTTATTTTAATTTTGTTTCGTTTATAATTTTCGTATTAAAGTGTGACGATCAGACGTACCCTCT